GGGGGGAGCGGTACGTGCCGAGCCGCACGCGGCGCCCACGCGCGGGAGCGCTCGCGCGTGGGCGTGTCCGTGGGCGCTCACGTGCATGCCCGTGGCCGCGCGCGCGTGTGCGCGCTCACGTCGGCGCCTCCGCGCTCTCTCGGGTGCTCGCGTGTGCGCGTCTTCGCACGTGGGTGTTCACGTGCGGTCTCCGCGCGTCCTCGTTTCAGCAGCCGCGCGCGCGCGCGTGTCCGCGGGCTCGCGCGGGTTTCGATGTCCGCGCCCCGCGCGTGCCCGTAGCGCCGCGCTCGCACCCGCCGCGTTGGCGTCCACGCGTGGCGCGGCGGCTGCGCGGAAGCGCGCGCGGGGCCGCGCCTCCGCAGGAGTGGGCGCCGGCCCGAGCGCTGGGCGGTGCGTGCGGGCACACGCGTGTGTGCGAGCGGGGCCGTGTCCACGCGCGGGCGGCGCTCCGCGGGGTCTGTGAGTGCGCGGCAGGGCACGAACACGCATGCCGTGGAGGTGCGAGTGCATGGGGTGCGTGTGCCTGTGGGTGCGTGTCCCCACGCCGGCCGTGCCCCCCCAGCCCCTCACCCCGGCGTTGTCGGGGGGCGCTGCCCCGGGGCGGCCCCCCCGCGCCGGCCCCCGCCCCCGCCGCCCCCCCGCCGCCCTCCCGCAGCCCCCCCGGCCGCCGCGTATCACCTGAAACCGCCGCGGTGTCGGGTTCGCGCTGGAGGGGCCGGGCCCTTCCGGGAGGTCCGGGGGGTCACGGCCGACCGGGGGTGGAAGCGTTCCCCCCCGGGGAGGGGGACACGGGGGGACACCGGCTCGCATCACCGGAGTTAGCGGAGCGGGGGGACACTACACCTCTCCTCCCCTGCCTCAGTTTCCCCTGTGTGGCTCTGGCATGCTCCGCGCAAAGGGAGGAGGTGAGGGGGAACACCACATTCCTTGCCCCACGCAGCCTCGTGGGGGGACGCGCCCCCGGGGCACCCCCACGCCCAGCCCGTGGCGGGGGATACGCACGGGGCTGCCCCACCCCGCCAGCTGCAAGGCCAGCCCCGGCCGCTCTCGATTGACAGCTCCCGCACCCGATGGCCGCGCCGGTCCCGCTGGGAAAGCCAATCCCCGCGGGCGGGGGGGCCGGAGGCGGTGCTGCCCCCCGGCCTCGCCATCCCCCCCGCGCTGCTGCCAGGTGTCTCTTTCGCAGGTGGCACCATGGGGACAGGTGAGGAGGGCACGGGGCGAGGGGGAGGGAGCGACGGCGGTAGGGGGGTCCCCTGCACCCCTTCGAGGAGGGGGGACCGGCGGCTGATGCTCGAGAGGGGCAGCGGGTGGGTGCCGTGGGGGGCTGGCAGCAGTCGGGACACCAGAGTGTCCCCTGAGCCGGGGCCATCACTTATTTATTGAGGTCAGGCTGGGGCGAGCGGGGGACGAAGCGGGGGGGGGGGGGCACCGTGATGGCGTTTCACCCACGCCTGGAAAATCCCCGCGGGAACTGCCATAGGGAGCGGCACACCCATCTCCTGCCCTACGGCATTGGGAATCTAGAGGAGCCCTAGGGAGGGTGGAGAGTGGCCGGAGGGGTCAGGTCCCACTTTCTGGTGTAAAGCTGATGTCCCCGTGTCCCCTCTCCAGAACCTTTCTGGATTTATACTGCCACATAAAGCCCCTTTGCACCCCCTATTCTGGATTTGCATTGCTAGGTAGAGCCCCTTTGCACTCCAGCATCCTTGCTCCAGGGCAGGGCAACCTGTTCCCACACCCCCATGGTGGTACCCAGGAGGCATGCAACAGTTTGACCCTGAGGACACTATAGGACGGGAGGGGATTGGGCTGGGGAGGAGGTCACAAAGCTCCTTCTTCCAGGCTGTGCTGCTGGACCTGGGACCTGTCCTGCCAGCACCAAGCACCCACGCCAGCTGTCCCCAGCATCACGCTGCTAAAAGAGAGCGGTGCCCAAGCCTGGGCATGTGCTGCTGGACTATGCCATGTCCCCCGCTGGCTGACGGGCAGCCCTGGCCCTGTGAGGACACAGCCAGCCCTGAGCCAGACACCGGGACGCCGGAGTGCCCAGCACCACCATGGCCCAGGACTGGGAGGCGGTGCTGTCGGGGATGACGGTGGGCAGCCGGTCGCGGAGCTCCAGCAGCGAGGCCAGCCTGGCTCCCCACTTTCTCCTCAGCAAGCAGAGCCGCCTGCTCAATGGGGCCACCCGGAGCACCCGCGCCACCTCCCCCATGGGCCGTGTCATCCTCATCAATGCCCCCATCGAAGGTGCGTGGCGTGTCCCAGCCCTCCGCCCACCCCTATGGCCAGGAGGGCTGGGACGGCAGGGTTCCATGGGTCTGGGGGCAGGGAGGGCTGTCCAGGGACTGGGGATATCCCCAGTAAGAAAGACACCCCCTGCCATTGCTCACACTGAGCCTGGGTGAGTCATCCATTCCCCTGTCCCCACAGCCAGCAGCAACGAGAGTGACATCATCAATGCCATCACGGTGGAGAAGAGTGCAGATGGCAAACTGGGCTTCAGTGTCCGTGGTGGCTCCGAGCATGGGTTGGGCATCTTTGTCAGCAAAGTGGAGGAGGGCAGTGCTGCCGGTAAGAAGGACAGGGCGAGAGACACCAGTGGGGATAGGTATGTGCCAGCAAGACCCTCTCAAGAAGGTCACACTGACATGGTGCTGCAGCGACAATGCCACCCTTCACGGTGGAAAGCCACCATCTGCTCCCTACTGCCTTTTGGCCATGGGGTTTTCAGGCTGCCCTCCGAGAAGAGCAGGAAACAGGAGTAGGCAGCCGTGCCAATTGCTCTGAGCTCCCTCCCCAAGCCACAGTGAGGTGGCAAGCCACCCACGCCTGCCATTGTCTCAGTGTGATTGTCAGGCATCCTCACCTCTGTTCCCATGGGGTTCAAATGAGGTCGAGGACACATTTAGGGAGGGGTTACCAAACAAGGACATCAGTGCCAGTCAGGTGCCCACCTGAGCTGTGTGCCCCTCGCAGAGCAGGCTGGGCTGTGTGTTGGTGACAAGATCACAGAGGTGAACAGTGTGAGCCTGGAGAACATCACCATGAGCAGTGCTGTCAAGGTCCTCACCGGCAACAACCGCCTCCGCATGGTGGTCCGGCGGATGGGCCGTGTGCCAGGAATCAAGTTCTCCAAGGAGAAGACAGCATGGTGAGTGGGGCCAGCACCCCAAAACCCAACCCCCTGGAGGGCATGGCAGAGATGCTGGATGACAGAAGGATCCGGAGCTGGGGGAACCCCAGGGTGGGGGGCATCAGAACTCTCTAGCAAAGGTGGGGAGAGACCAGGGTGAGGTGAAGGATGAGATAGGAAGGTCTGGAGCAGGCAGGGTGGGTGCAAGCGCCATCGTAAACATCCCCCATCCCCATCACTCTCTTCCACTGGGTGACACCAATGGCCCCATCCTGCTAGAAGATGAAAGCCAGATCCCCAAGCCCCCCTACGCTGTGCCCATTCTCCAGGGTGGATGTGGTGAACAGACGCCTGGTGGTGGAGAAAAGCGGCTCAACACCATCGGAGAGCGGCTCCGAGGATGGGCTGCGGCGCATTGTCCACCTCTACACCACCTCTGATGACTACTGCCTGGGCTTCAACATCCGTGGTGGCAGGGAGTTTGGCCTCGGCATCTATGTCTCCAAGTACGGCTGACCCAGGGGGCATGAGGGGGACATAGCGCCCCAGTCTGTGCTGTGCCCACACTGGGGCTCAGCACTGCCTCCCTGGCTGAGCTCCCCACCCTCAAAAGACTGTGGGCACCACCACCAAGGGTGCTGGGGCATGGGGCTACCCACGTGGAGGTGCGGGGCAGGAGCAGAACTCCGACAAGGGTTCATCCCATGCTGTTCCCTCTGTGCCCTAGGGTGGACCCTGGGGGGCTGGCGGAGCAGAACGGCATTCGGGTGGGAGACCAAGTCCTTGCAGCCAATGGAGTCAAGTTTGAAGACATAAGCCATAGCAAGGCAGTGGAGGTGCTCAAGGGGCAGACCCACATCATGCTCACCATCAAGGTACCTGCACCCCGGCCTATGGGATCCTCGGGTGAGGCAAGGGTTGGTGTGTCCCCATACTGGCGCTGCCCCAGCTCGGCTCGGTGCCCGTGGGGCTGGTGCAGCTGCCGGCTGGTTGGGTTTCAGGTGGGTGGGAAGGGGCGATGCATTATTCATGGTTGGCACCAGATCGGGTTCGCTGGGACAGCCGGCATTCACTGACCCCCTTGTCCTCTTCCCCGTGTGTAGGAGACAGGCCGGTTCCCTGCCTACAAGGAGTTGGTGGCCGAGTACTGCTGGCTCAGTCGCTGTAAGGGCAGTGCCTTGCGGGTACTGGCAGGGATGCGGGGCTGGGGCATGGGGCTGTGGTTGGGATCCCCATGCAACTGGTGTCTTGCCACTCTGGGGAGGGAGAATATCCACATGCCATGGGATCCCATGGCTTTGGAGAGGGCATAAGGCCCCCTATGCCACAGCCAGCAGCCCTGCGATCCCGCAGGGTCCTACGTGTCCCCATCTTTGGAGAGGACATGATCCCTATGCAGTGGCCAGCAGCCCACTGGTCCCCATTACTCTGTGGGACTCCACATGTCCCTTTTCAAGAACCCAGTACCCCCCATGTGCCTGCTAGCAGCCCTGCAATCCCCACGGCCCTATGAGTCCCCACACGTCCTCTGTTTTGGGGGGGATGTGGAACCCTTGGTGGCCCACAGTGTGTCACACTGTGTTCACGCTGTGCCTTTGCAGTGACCAACGGGCAGCTGCAGCAGTTGTCTCAAACCTCAGAAACCAGCTCCTCCATCTCCTCCTACTCCTCGGGGCCAGCACCAGGGACAGTAAACGGGCTGGGGATGGCTGCCCCAGGGCCCCCAGCCCGCACCGTGGATGTGGCCATCTCCACGGAGGATGGGCCGCGGCGGAGCTGGGTGCGGGAGCGCGCCGAGCGGGCCATGCAGACTGAGCCAGCCACCGAGGGGCTGCCGGAGACGCGGCGCACGGTGCGGCCCCCTGAGCTGCTGCGGGACACGGCCATCCGGGGCCAGGGCACCCGCGAGACCCCCAGCATTCACCCACGCCGGACCTTCACCCACTCACCCAAGACAGCGCTGCTGCTGGCGCTCAGCCGGCCACGGCAGCCCATTACACGCTCCCAGAGTGACCTCACCGTCGCCGGTAGGCACTGGGGCATGGCCCCACACAATGGGACTCACCCCTGGCTGGTGTCCCCCTCCAGCCCTTCACCCCCAGCCCTGTGAGTCTCGCAGCTCAACCCCTGCCCCACTTGGAGTGAGTCTCCTGCTTGAGCATCCCATAGTCCCTGACCCACATGGATACCTGGACACTACTCCTGGACTTCCTACAGTCAAGCTCTCTGGTCCCTACTCTAGCACCCTATAGCCCATATGGACCCCTGACTGCTAACCCTGGGTATTCTATAGCCCCACATAGCTGCAACCCTGTCCATGGGGCTTGCCAGGCACCCCAAAGCCCAACCCCAAGTCCCCTGGAGACCCACTGCACCCGACAGCAGGACTCTTTCCCAGTCAGTGTCTCCCAGTAGCCCCTCCAATCCCCCAAAGTTCCCTGCCTCCAAACAAGGTTTGGGGTGGCATCCCCCGGCCTCTCCAAAGACCCCCTCTCTCTGTCCACAGAGGAGAAGCGGAAGAAGGAGAAGCCAGATGGACAAGGGGCACGGGGGGCCCCCCCAGGGCTGCACCGGTCCAAGACCCTTGTCAACCTCTTTTTCAAGGGGGGCCGTGCCACCAGCCAGAGCTGGGCCCTCCCGAGCCAGGAGGCCCCTGCCTCTGACCGTCGGGCACGCACTAAGTCCCCAGGGCGCTCCGATGGGGACAGAGGTACTGGACTGGGTGACAGGGCAGAGAGGGACTCAACCTGGGACTGGTCCTCCCTTGTATGGGCCTGTTGTGGCATCCCTGGCATGGAGGGTGCATAGGGAGGGGCTCCTCAGGCATGCAGTTTTGACAGTGGGCAGCAATGTTGCCGACTCCCCTGGGTGCTCACCCCTCTCCATCTCCCTTGCAGTAGGTGCTGTGCAGAAGTTTGTCATCCGGAGCCTGAAGCGGGGTAACGGGGGTGCCCGTGTGCCCAGGGGGGTGTGGGGCAGGCTCTGCATGTGCCTGGCCCTGTGCTGTGTGTGTCTGTCCCACTCTGGTGTGGAGCGAGCTGTTGGGGTGGGGGGCATGGGGAGCTTTCTGGGCTGCCTGGGGCAGTCCTTGCCCCGCTGGCCACCCCTCCTTGATGTGCCTCCCCAGAGAAAAGCCAGCGTGCCAGCATCCTGGGCCCCACGGGCATCACCACCCTGCAGCCCAATGGCAGCGATCCTGAGGCCCGGCTCCCGCACATCCAGGAAACCGCTACACGCCTCCTCAGCCCCGACGAGGTGACAGCCGTGCTCCGCCACTGCTCCCGGGTACGCACCAAAGGCAGAGCACAGGCAGGGAAGTGCTGCCAGCCTGGGCTCATCCCTGGGAAGCTCCTGCATCCCAGGGGCATGGCGAGCACTATGTGCCCACATTGAGCTCTGGGAGGTAAACTGAGGCACGGGGGGCAGGACATGCATCCACTGACACCCCTCCTGTGCCCGCAGTACCTGCACGAGGGCAGTGTGGAGGATTTGGTGCGGCCACTGCTGGCCATCCTGGACCGGCCTGAGAAGGTCCTGCTGCTGCGGGATGTGAGGTGAGTGCTGCTGGGGAGTATCTCAGTGTACCCCAATACTGCCCAGCCTGATGTGTGATCAACTCAGACTCTCAGACACACTCATCAGCCCTGATCATGCTCCATCCCAGAGGCTGCCACAACCTGTCCTCCCTCTTTGCCTTGACAGGAGTGTGGTGGCCCCCACAGACCTGGGCCGGTTTGACAGCATGGTGATGCCCTTGGAGTTGGAAGCCTTCGATGCCCTAAAGAGCCGCTCAGGTGGAGCCCAGCCCCCCCAGGGACCTTGAGTGGGGGGAGGTAGTGGGCAGGGGTGAGTGCGGCTTGGGGGGTGACTGGGAGCTCTTCCTGACCACAGTGCGCTCACCTGCCCTCCGGCCAGCCCGCCATGATGTCCCCCCCAAGAGACACCTCATCACACCAGTGCCTGGTGAGTGCCACCCACAGACAGCCAGGACACCAGGCTGCCTGTGGAGCCCCTACTGGATGGAAAGGATATAGGGGCAGTTTAAGGGAGGAGAAAGGGAGTTGGGATGCCTGGGTGCAGGGGGTCCCAGGGAAGAGGGCACCTGGTGTCCCTGGGTGTTGGGAAGACCTGGAGCAGCATTATCTGTAGATCCTAGGTGCCAAGGGGTCTTGGGGAGGAGGATTTGGAATACCTGGAGAGAGCTGGGGTCTGGGGATCCCTGGATGTCAGATGCCCTAGGGAGGGGAGCTGGGGTGTCTGACTATCTGAGGAAGATTTGGAGTACCCAGGGGATGCCTGTGTGGCAGGGGTCATGGGGAGTGGGGCTGCAGGGGTCCAGGGGGATCCTTGAGAGACAGGGGTCCCAGGGAGCAAGGCTGTGGGGTCCTGGAGAGATCCCTGAGCCCCTCTCGTTTCAGACTATCGGGGTGGATTCCTGCTGAAGCCAGCAGGAACCCCAGAGCTAGAGGAAGCTGGGGAGCAGCAGTCAAGCCCAGCCCGTCCAAGAGCATCCCCCAGCCCCCGCCGGCTTCACCCCCGCACCTACACCCCACTCCCCGACGTGCCAGTGGATGCCTACGCCTGCACCAGCCGCCCCCTGCCCACCCTTGGCCCCGGGTCCCCCAACTGGCTGCTGGCTGAGCCCCCCCAAGGCAAGAGGCACGGGCGCTCGCGCAGCCCCCGGGCCACCTGGCGCAAGGAGTCTCCCGGGACAGCACCTGACAGAGGGGCCGAGGTGCTGGGGAAGCCCCGGCGGGCACGGGCTTCTCTTTCCCCTCTCTTTGGGAGGACAGGGGGTGAGGCAGAGGCTGGAGCAGCCATCAATGGCCCCGAGGATGCCAGCAGGGAAGAAGAGGAGGAGGAGGAATATCGTCTGCTCACTGTCACACTCTCCAAGCTGAAGCACTCGCTGGGTGGGTGGCACACCAGGGGACCCCAGGGGTGGGACAAGGACCCTTTTTCTGGCACCAGCATCACTGGTATGGGTGACACCCTTTTGACAAGGGTCAAAACCCAGAGCACTCCTCCAAAACTAGAAGGGGGGGAAAAGCTGCCCCTGCCCCAACCCCTCATCCATGTAGGACCTACCAAAACAGGGTAGGATGGAGGTGCAGCTGCCCAGGGGAAGGCAGTGCCATGCCTGTGAGTGGGTGGGGGTCCCAGCCTACCCGAGTGTGAGGATCTCGCGGCTCCCTTGCAGGGATCAGCATCTCCGGTGGCATCGAGTCAAGGGCACAGCCAGTGGTGAAGATTGAGAAGATCTTCCCTGGTGGAGCCGCCTTCCTCAGTGGCATCCTCAAGGTACGGGGGAACCTTGGGGGACTCAGCACATGCCATGGGGTGGAAAGACATCCAGACACCCCCATCCCTTGGTACCGCTGGGTTGGTGGCAGTCCCCAGGCACTCCAAAAGGAGCTGCACTTCACCCTACTGTCTTCCCTTGCGGGAGCCAGGCCGGACAGGAGCTGGTGTCGGTGGACGGGGAGAGCCTGCAGAACGTCACGCACCAGAAGGCTGTGGACATCATCCGCCAGGCTTACCGCAACAAAGCCAAGGAGCCCATGGAGCTGGTGGTGCGGGTGCCTGGAGCATCCTCAGACTGATGCTGTACCTTCCCTTCAAGGAGCCATCCCATGTTCCAGAGGAGCCAGATGGCTTATTTCTACACTGAGCTGTGGCTGGTCTCAGCACAGCCAGAGGGTGGGAGAGCCAGACCCACCTCAAGGGCACAGAGCAGCTGCCCACTGCAGGACCCAAAGGAGAGCACCACTGGCAACACAGGAGATGGACAGGTGGCCCCTGACCCCTCTCTGGACACACAGACACAGTCCTGAAAAAAACACAGCCAGGGGCTTGTTTTTTAATTGCCGTTTCTGGGTGGTACATGGGTGAGCCAGCGAGACACGACTGGAATAAAGTACAAAAATCCCCCCCTGGAGCCAGGGGTGACCAAGCCACACTGGGGCACAGACAGACTTTTCCTTTGGTTTGATTCCCGCTCGGTGCCCAGCTGGGCTCCCCCCCTCTGCCCACTCCGGGGGTGTCCCCAGAGTGTCCCCAGCTGGCACATGCAGCACTGCACCCCTCTCCCCTGGCAGGCTGGGCATCACAGGGGCATGGGCTCTTTTGGGGGGACAGGAAACAGAGGGTTTCTGGGGGCAAGGGCATGGGAAAGGCACTGAGGGCAAACTGCCCCGTGGCAGGGGTGAGGGGGCACAGACTGGTGGAGTGTGAGCTGGGAGAGGGTGATATGTTTTGGTAGGTCCTATAAAAATAGAGTTATTTAAAATGGCACAGAAACGAATTCCCTGACAAACACACAGAGGGGCATGAAGGAGGCTGGCATGGGCAGGGACAGGGCACATGCCAAGTGACTGGGTGACAGTGCCAGCAGGGACGAGAGGGAGGGGACAAGTCAGCCCTCCCCCCCTACCCAAGGTGACCCTGGCTGAAGCCAGCACCACTAATCCCCAGGCACTAAGAGGATCAGCAGGAACCAGTTCCGGGCGGCCCCAAGGCCGGGACTCAGGACCCACCTGACCTCACATCTCACGGGCACCCCTCACTGCAGTGAGCACTGATGCACCCTCACCCCAAAACCTCCATGCTGGGGAGGGGACAGCACCTGCAGTCCCCTCTGCCTCTTCACAGTGCCAGCAGTCTACAGAGCTGAGGGGAGAGCAGGGACCCTCCACAGCCCAACAGCTCCCAAAATCACAGGGGCTGGAGGCCCCTCTAGCCCTCCAAACATGGGGTGAAGGCAGGCAGCATCTCAGATCTCGGTGGCCGTGATCTCCTCAAAGGGTGGGTCAGGGGGATCACAGGGTTCGGGCAGAGGGTCCTCGCCCTGAAGCCGGAGATGCTGGAGCCGCTGCTCCAGCCGCCGGTTGCGCCGGTACATCTGGATGTAGCTGTATTGCAGCTGCTTCTGGTAGCGGATGACCCGCTCCTTCTCACCCTGCCACGTGCCACGTTCCTGCTCGAAGGCATCCCGCTGCTCCTGTCCACGCCGCCGCTCCAGGGCCACCTCCGCACGCAGCCGCTCCAGCTGCCGCCGCAGCCCCGCACTGCCCCGAGGCTCTTCGCCGGGTGGGGGGCATCCCTCACCAGGTGGGGGACACCCTTCGCCGGGTGGGGGGCATCGCCCACGGGCGGCTTCCCGCAGCCCCACCACCTCCTCCTCCAGCCGGCCGGCTTTGGCACGGAAGAGGTCGGCCTCGCTCTTGCGGCGTTGCAGTTCGTTGGCGCAGACCTCCAGCTCCAGCGCCTTGAGGCGGGCGGCCTCCTGCAGCCCCTGCGCCCGCCGCTCGCCTGCCTGCAGCTGCGCCCGTGCCTCCCGCAGCTGAGCCCGCAACCCCAGCAGCTCCGCGCCCCGCTGTGCCAGCTCTGCCTGCGCCTCCTTCAGCTGCTGCTTCAGCAGAGAGATCTCCCCTGACTTCTGGCACACCTGTGGGGACAATGGGCCTCAGACGTTGGCCAGGAAACCCTGACCACAGCCTGTACCCCCTGACGTGCCTGGTGCTGCCAGATGACTCACCTCCCACTTGGTCTCCTCCAGCCGGGGTGCCAGCTCAGTGCGCTCCCGCTGGAAGGAGGCACAGCGCCGCTCCAGCAGCTCCCGCTCCTGCAGAAGCTGGGCCAAGTCCTCCTGCAGCTGCTTCTTCTCCTGCTGCAGCTGCAGCACCTGGAGCTGCAGGACCTGTTGCCCCCGCTGCGCCGCGTGGGCCGCCTGCCGTGCCTGGGCCACACAGCGCTGCCGCAGCCCTTCCAGCTCCTGCTCACACCGACGCTGCTTCTCCTCATACACCTGGGCCATAGGATGCACAGGTGCTGGAGAGGCAGCACAGCATGCCCCCACTTCTGTTGTCCTCTCCAAGATCGGCATCACATAGAGGGGGTAGTGCATCTCCCCCAGATGGAGGAAGGGTCCAGGAAGTGTGGTACACACCTCTTTGTGCCCCTTTATCCCTCTGCATGATGGGCCCCCCGTGTCAGCACTCCCAGAGCCTACAGGGCTCCCTCAGCCCCATCACCAGCAGGGAGATGCCACAAGTCTCGGGCTCATTCAAAAAAGGGCACCCCAAGATAAAGCCCCCCAGCCTATACAACTGGCCCCATGGGCCATACAAGACCCTCCCAGGGACTATATAGGACCATTCAGCTGGTGAGAAAAACCCACATACCCAGACCCACAGGAAAAAGCACCCCGTACAAGAGTCTGTAAAGGGTCCCTATTCCCAGCCAAGGGAATTCCCATGCCCCAGGGAGGGAGACAGGAACAGGACAGGGGGACATCAGAGACATACCTGGCAAATGGCCACCTCATTCTCATCCAGGCTGTCACGCAGGAGCCGCAGCTCGGCCTCCCTCTCCCGCAGCTTTTCCTCCAGCTCCCGCACCAGCATGGCCTCCTCACCAGGCAGAGGCGAGCGTCCGCAGGAGCCACTCTCTGAGGAGGGCCGGCCCCGGCCGCTCAGCGAGCCTGTGCTCTTGCTGGAGGACGAGCGCCCGCTGTCCGAGTTGGAGGGGCGACAGCCCACCGGAGGATCAAGGGGGCCATGGGGGGTGGTCGGCAGAGCACCCACCTCTGGGTGCTGGCTGCAGCCCGTGCTGTAGGTGGGCAGACTGGAGAGGGAGTTGCGCCCAGAGTCGGAGAGGGTGCTGGCACGGCAGCTCAGAGAGCCAGGCTTCTCGACACCCAGCAAGTGGGTGAGGCTCACCTGGCTCTCCGAGAGCCCCAGGCGTGTGCCTGGCTGGGCACTCCGAAGCTTGGATACCACTGGCTTGAAGGCCATGGGGCGGATCAGGGTTTTCTCCACATTCTGTCAGGAAAACAGGGGAGATTGAGGGGTTGGGGAGGACCCACCACCCTTAAGAAAGGCTGCCTTGGACTGTGATGAGGGGTGCCCTCAGCCTAGATGCCTTCACACTCCAAAGAAGACAAAGGCCAGTCACCACTCACTCCATCCCTTTTCCATGGGGTGCCCAAGTGGGCTCCCCAAACCCCCTGGCACAGAGAGGACATTAAGAGCATGGGGACCACCACTTCCCAAAGGACACCATAAGTGTGGCCATGTGGTCCCAGTTCATACATCTGAGCCAACAGTCCCAGCATGGCATGGGGAGTAAAGTCAAGACCCCAGCACCCACCCACTCTGCTGCTGCCCCCCCCACCTCTTCCAGCTTGCCAGAGACGGGGATGAGCTTGGGGGGTGGCCCTCGAAGGTGATCACTTGGTGCTTGGTCATCACGGAGCTCATCTGAGTCACTGCAGGGGCTGGCAGGAGAGGAGGCGTCAAGCCAGTCACCACAGAAGCCACCGTTGGCATAGGAGTGGGTGACGATGGGCACAGACACACGGGGCTCCTCAGGAGTGGCCCGGAGCAGCCCCTCTTGCTTGCAGAAGGTGGTGGAGGGGTCCCCATCACAGGGCTGGCTGGTGTGGTCATGGCGAGGCCGGACGGGCAGGAGGCTGCCCACACTGCCCATGGTGGCAGGGGGCGAGCAGGCAGCAGCACGGAGCTGTGTGGCTCCCTCGGCAGCGGCCTCAAGGGGCACTGGCAGCGTCTGCACGATGGCCATGGCGGGGGGGCCCCCGGCAGGCAGGGGCACACGGGCAGCCTGCAGGCAAGGGAGACAGGGTATTAGAGCTGTGGGTACCACTGGCCGTGCCCCACCAGATGCCAGTATCCCCAGCTGGGCACAAGGGCACTCCCAGGTTCCCAGCCACCATCCCCTTGGGCATGGGCTGGCCCAAGGAGAAGCAGTCAGAAAGAGATGCCAAATGAGCCAGAACAAAATAAGGATTAGTTGGAGGAGCGGCACCAGCACCCCCCAAGTTGTGCTCAGCACCCCAGTGGAGCAGCATGGGGCTGCCAGGGGCTGTGGGGTGCTGGTAGCACTGTAGGACAGCAGTGATGTGGTCCTGCCTCCTGCCATGCCCTGGAGTGACCCTGCCATGGGAAGCGTGCCAAGACTGGAGGCGAATCCCGAGAGGCCTGCAGAGAGCCAGCTCATGTGCAGCCTGCCGCCTGCCTGCCCCATGGCACCCACCAGTGCAGCCCTGCAGAGAGTGAGGGACAGACTCACACTCCAGTGTCAGCCACCTCCTCGGCCCCACAACCCTCACCTCCCTGCAGTGATCCCATAGAGGGTGCCCCCCACCCCCAACCATCCACAGTGGGGCACAGGGTGCCCTGGAGAGGGCAACCAAGGGGGAAGTCGTCTGGTGGGCACCAGGCTCTTTCCCAGCCCTAACACATGGGGGTTTGTTCCCACCCCCTCCAGTTGAGGGGCTCTGCCAGTGCTCTGCTGTGACCTCCGTGCCCCCCCCCCGCTCCAACCCATGCCATACGCCCGCGTGACGGGAGCCGGCCGAAGGGCCAGATCCATCCCCCGCTGCCTCACTGCATCTCGCACAGGGCTGCGGCTGGCACAGGGCGCGGGCAGGGGGGGCGGCTGCCCGCACGGTCTCTCCCGCCGAGCTGTCACCTGAAATCAATCTGTCTGCCAGCGCCCGGGGAGGGGCGAGCAGCGGAGAGATGCCAGTGAGCCAGCCCCCCCCTGCCACCGTCACCCCCACCGGCACGTGCCATCCCCAGGCACCGTGACCTCACACCATGCTCCTGATACCCTTGGGTGGGAAGGTGGGTGACCCCCACCACTGGCTCCACTCACCTCGCCAGCCGCTGCCCATCCGTCCGGTCCACTCAGGCCTCTACACCATAAACACGGCTCCGCCGGCCCCTGAAGCAGGAAGGAGGAAGAGGAGGGGGTCAGGGCACAGAACGGCAGCAGGGGTTCCTGTGTCCCCGCTGCCTCCCCGTCCAAGCCCCCCCGGCTGGCGGGGCCAGGGCAGATGGTGCCAGCGTGTCACTGAGGGTGGCAGGGGAGCCCGGCGTCGGGTGCGCTGTTCCAGGGTGGAACCCCGGGTGGGCTGCGGTTACCCCGGGAGGGG